AAAAATTATCTATCTGGTGCCTAATACATTTCTGATCTCTGAAGCATTTAATCAAAGGCTGGTGACCAGTATCTGAAGATGTGATGCCAACACTTAGCCTCCAGTCAAACTGGAGCACAGAAAAAGGCTTAACACCAAGAAGAGAGTAAAAGCTGATGGACCTCAACTTCTTCTGAGTTTACAAGTCAGATGCATAGGAAGAACTAGACAGCGGTCACTAAGAAAAAAAAATGGAACAGCAAATCAAGTTAAATGTCAATCCTTATCTAAGTCCTAACCCAGTTCAAAATCCCTAAGCTACAAATCAAGACAGCTAGTCATATTTCTAAGCTTTGAGTATCAGTCCTAGTCAAACACTGAGTCAAGCAGGTTGTAGCAAACTTACCCATTCAAAATTTCTCATCAGCTGCTTGCTAGAAAGATCAGACCTTTTAGTAGAAAATTGCACAAAGGTTATGAAGTAGCATCTCAATTTAGAAGCAGATATATTTTGACTAACCCCAAGGCACATTTTAACCTCCAAAACTTGTGGTTACAATCGTGGGTGCAATAGTTTAAGCCATCATTAACCGGTTCCAAAAGCTAGAAAGCTGAGATTACTATTGAGCAGAAGGTTAACTAAACATCACCACGAAGTAGTTTGCAGGTCTCTAGCTCAAATTTTATTAGTAAAACCAGTAAACAATACTCCATGTTTTCCCCCTACACAAGGGGAAAAATAATCTAGTCAACTCATTGTAACTACCAACAATATATAAAGTAATGGACCACTCAGTATAAATAGTAATAACTATAATAAAAAACGAGCTTGGTTTCATAATTCCCAGTCAACACAAAAGCTGCTGTTTAAAATATTTAGACACTTGCTACTGGTTAAAAGCATGTTATGGTACAAAGCGTTTCCACATCCTGATAGAGAACAGGTAGTTCCTTTATATATTTAAGATATGTTTGCTCAAATATGTACAATTAGTGACCAAGTTATTGGTATGTTTCCAGACCTTGATTCTTATGTAAACAAAATAAATTAGCCAGATAGACAGCAAAGTTTATCAGTTTTCTAGACTAGGGAACTGAAGACTGCAGACAGGACTGTGCTTCTGTCTAATGGTCTGATAAAGGACTGTACACTGCCACCTGAAACACAGGTTCAGAAGCAATCTTGTATATCTCCCCTGGCCAGATAAGAGAAACATTGAACAAAATGAGGCTTTCAGTCTGGGGGAGGTGAAAGAATTGAAAATTACAACTATTGAGAAACGAATTCTATAGTGTGGATCAGCACAAGCAACTTCATGAGACAGTAACAACTTCAGTAGCCATAACTTGTTGCATGCTTCACAGTCTTGTAGGGAAAAATAATTATAAATACTCCCTCACACTTTTTCAGGCTGAGTTTTTTTACATTCAATTCAATAACACTTCTCTGCATCTGTAATGTGATAACTTTTGAACACCACATCCAATTAATTCCAAGATCACAGGGAATATTCTAGGCATCAATGGCCAGACTCTACTGATTTTATTTGGGGCAGAGGGGTCGTGGTCAGAAAATGGAAAGAGCGAAAACAGGGACACATGAAGGCCCTGCTGGCTTATTAGCATAGCCAGAGCCTCAAGCATCTTTGCAATGGTCTATAGATCATTCAAAACAACTACATTCACGGCACCCATTAATGTCTCCCATAATCTCCTCCTGCCAGGAGTTGTGTCTCCCTCCATTCCCCCTGCTCCCATACCAGGATCCCCCATTCTCTTCCCAATACCAGCACCTCTGTTTACACGGTCATTCCCACTCCCCCCCATGCCCTCGATGACAGGGGCTCTGTATCCCTCCTTCTGAGGTCCCTCCAACTTCCCCCAACAAGGAGATGGGAAGTTGCGGGGGGGGGGGGGGGGAGAGGTATGGGAGAGAAGCATAAAGGAGCTTGTGGGGGGGGGGAATGCAGGGATGCAAAGAGCCCTTGGTATATATAATAAGTTCAGCCTACACAAACTAAACTATGAGGAACGCTCCCGCATACAAACTATTTAAGCCAAAACAAAACTGAATATGCAAGCATCTAGTACCATCTTCAGCTTCTACATATCCCTTAAGTTTTCGTTTCCTAGGAAATGTATTTTAATTATCTACACAATTTACTAATAGTAGCATGTGCTGTTCCCAAAATGCTTCATTATATTGAAAGTTTGTCATCACTCCCCTGCACACACATCATTCTGCAGGGCTGACACTGGTGGCAGTTAGTGAGAGAGGCACTGCACAGGCATTTAAAACATTTTGAGTAGCCTAAAATTAATACTTCAATTATCTCCTCCTGATCACAGACTCATGGGCAGCAGCACTATGATGGAAATCAAGGAGTTTTCACTGTTCCCTTTGTATGGTCCCAGTGCAATCTTAGAATCCAGACAACTGTTTGCAAGTATCACACAGCTCATGGGTCTGAATTGGGACGAGTAATCTACAGCAGTGGTTCAAAGCCATTTTTTACTCAAGGACCCCTAAACTTAAATCGATAAACCAGAAAACCGCCGATCAGAGGTGATACATGGGGCAGTGGGGGCACACAGAGTCATGTGCCGCTGCCCTCCCAGATTTCTACCTTCCTTTTGGCCCTGCTCCCTGAACTGCTGATGTAGTAGTATGGCAGAGCAGTGGTGTATCTCCTTGGCTAGCTGCTGCCTGCTTATGGAGCCATTGTTGGGACGCAACCCCTTCTGATGGCAGGGAGAGGTGCCTCTTCTGCAGTGACGCTGCAATTTTTGGTTGCATCCGCCCCCCAACCCAGAAAGGCTGGGTGGCCCATTGACATGCGTCAGGGGGTGGAGATAGTGGGGCTCAAGCTCAGTCCTTGGTGGACTCCCTGAAACCTGCTCAGGGACCCCAGGGGGCCCTGGACTCCTGTTTGGGAGCCAGTGTTCTACAGAAGGGCTGAGTATTTTATCTCATTTTCTTCTCCCTCTATGCTTTTTGCTTTCTGTAAATACTAAGAACGGTGTAAAAAAATACTGCCACTCTGTAACTGAAAGATGATAGAACTAGCAAGTGAAAAGAGTAATAGTGGCATCAGCCATTCACTACATAAACATTACAGCAAGCCAATAAGTGAAGTTAAACTAGTCCTGAAGTCAGACAAGTCTGAGCGCATCCCTATCCTTTCCTCACCCTCCCAAACCTCCTCTGCCCTCCAGAAATACACAGCACTTGTTCTTACACAGCACTTTAAGTACGTAAATTGCTGTTCAAGAAGTTAATCATGTCCCCCTCTGCCACCAAAGCAAAAATCATTACTCCCAAATTACAGACAGACATCACTTTGTCTGATTCTCAGGTGACTTGCTCAAAGACACTTAAGTCAGGGGAGGAACCAGGCATAGAACACAGAATGTCCTGAGTTTCAAGCCCACACTAAACAATACTTTCCTCTGCAGCAAGTGATATAATGAGGAGCTGGAACATCCAAGGATATGTCTACACGGCAAGTAAAAATCTGTGGCTGGCTCACGCCAGCTGACTCCTTTGAGGGGTCCCAGGCTCCAGCCCAAGCTCAAACAACTACACCATAATAAACAGCACCTTAGCCCAAGCCCTGCAAGCCTGAGTTAGCTGGTATGGGCCAGCTGCAGGTTTTTAATTGCGGTGTATAACATACCCTGACAGAAAAAGTTTCCACTACCACCTTGGATGCAGTGGCACTTCACCACTCAGTGCAGCCACATTGGGCCAAGCACTGCCATCACCCCCAGAGGCTGCATCTCCTACCCACCCTAACCACACAGACTGAGCCACCACAACCCACATTTCCATTGCCCCACACGGACCACTCCCTACCACTTGGGGGCCCCAGCCACCATCGCCGCCATGACCCGTGTTTCCAATGCCCAAGCCAACCACCCCTTTCCACCTGACAGGGTCCCCAGCCACCATTCCCCCCCTCCCCTTGCTACCACTGTGCCCACCCGCAGACATAGGGCCTTCCTGCCACCCCCTGTCATGCAGCGCCCCGCTGTCACACCATCACCCCGCAGACGAAGGGGGTCAGCAAGGCTGCCAAGAGAGGAAAGGCTGCGCCCCAGGGCCTCCTCACTAGGGTCTCCATTGCCCCCCGGCCCTCACTCACCTTTGCAGACGGGGGAGCTGGGGCTCTTCCTCTCCGGGGAGCTCCTGCCCTGCTCTGGGGAGCGCCGCCGCTGGCGATGCCGGACCCTGCCAGCCGAGGCACTGGCACTGCCCTCCGGCAAGGGCGGGGCGGGGGAGGCGCAGGGGGAGAGAACAGAGCTTGGCGGAGGAGGGGGCGGCGGGGGAGGAGGGGGCGGCAGTTGGTGAGGGCGCGGGGGGCTCCCACGCGCTCCCGCCCCGCCGGCGCGCGTGGGGCTGCCACGCGAGGAGGCAGAGGCGGCGGGGCCGCTGCCGCCCCCTCCCCCGGGCGTCTGCGTGGCCACCGCGGGGCCGGCGCGCGCGCTGCCGCCGCCGCCGCCGCCGCCGTTCGGGGGCGCTGCGCGCGTGGGGCTGGTGCTGCGCGAGGCAGGCGCCGCGCGTGAGAGACCCCCGCCTGCGGCGCTCGCGGCGCCGCCGCCGCTCCTCGTGGGGCTGCCATGTTGCTGCTGCTGCTGCTTGAGCTGGAAGGGCACCGTGGCCCGCATGGGCTGCAGGCGGCTGCCCGCTCCCCCGCCTGCCGCCACGGCTGCCCCTCCTCCCCCCAAGGAGGTAGCAGGCGTGGGGGAGCCATTGCGCCTCACGCGCTGGTGGGACATTGCGTGCCCAGCTCCGGGAAGCGGGGCGTCGGGAGAGACCGCGGACGGCTCCTCAAGGGGGTGTAAACACCTCGCACCCCCCCTCCCCGAGCGCAAGGCCCCTCGCGCTGCCAACAGCCGACCCGCCTGCTCCGTGTGCCTCATCAACAATAGTGCCCCGGACGCCCGCACCGCCCTCCGCCGCCTGCCATTGGACACGCCTCAGCCCCGCTCGCGCCGCTACAGCGTCCTGATTGGCTACGGGGCGCGCTCCTGAGTGGCCGGGTGCGGGCTCTTAAAGCGGCGCTACGGAAGGTACATGTGCGCGTGCCCTAACCCGCGCCACCGGCCCAGTCCGCCTCACGTTGTAGCCCACCCCATCTCCTCACCTGGGCGCTTGTCTCCCTCGACTCCCTCCACTCTTCTATTCCGCCCCACACGCCCCTCACCTCGGCCTCAGTCCAGCAGGTGCTAGCAGCAGCAGGTGGCCAGGTAAGTTATGGTTATAAATCTCTATACGGCCCGTGTGCTCTCTGTACACTCACATCCATCGCTCACACCCCCCGCACTGGCCCCACACATTCACCAAAAGGCATTTGTCACCCACCACAACAAGTAAGTGTGTAGTTTCTAGACCAGGGGTGGGCAAACTTTCTGCCTTGAGGGCCACATTGCGGGTTGTGAAACTGTATGGAGGACTGGGAAGGCTGTGCCTCCCCAAACAGCCCGGCCCCCACCCCGTATCTGCCACTTCCTGCTCTCCTCAGAATTCCTGACCCATCCAACCCATCTCCCTGCTCCTTTTCCCCTGACTGCCCCCTCCCAGGACCCCCACCAATGCCTGCCCCCCTGGGACCCCACCCCCATCCAACTCCTCTGCTCCCTGTCCCTTGACTGCCCCAACCCATATCCACACCCCCAACAGGCCCCCCAGGACTCCCACACCTGTCCAACCCCCCCCCCCGTTCCCCATCCGCCCCGTCCAACTACCCACTGCTCCTTGTCTGCCCCCAGGACTCCCACTCCTATCAAACCGCTCCCAGTCCCCCGCCTGCCCTCCTTGAACCTCTGTTCCATCCAACTGCTCCCTGCCCCTTATCCAGCCCCCACACTACGTGTCCTTTTCCCATGCCGCTCAGAGAGGCAGGACTAGCAGCCATGCCGCTGCACTTCCTGGCGTCAACCAGCCACGCTGCCCAGAGTGCTGGTGGCACAGTGAGCTGAGGCTGCGGGGAGGGGGGCTCGCCTCCCTGGCCAGGAGCTCAAGGGCCAGGCTGGGCCGGATGGTCCCATGGGCCATAGTTTGCCCACCTCTGTTCTAGACCAAGCCATTTTAGAGCTATGAGTTACAGAAGTGGCCTGTAAAAATGAGTTAGGGATGTAAATCCAAGTAGTGGTGTGGCATACCACTCTTTGAACAGATCTTTGATTTAGATCACATATGTGCACATGTAATTTTTTGCATCAGTTACACAACTCACTCATTCTATCTAACAAAATCTGTCTAAAATTCAAGCTAAGGTAGATAGCTGGCCCCCATCACCATAATGACTCAGGGTTCTTTAGTGTATTTCTGCTTGGAGCCACCCTGCCCACCCCAGGCCAGGGACTACTATCATTCCTATTTTACAGATGAGAATTAGGGCACACAGAGACCAAGTGAGGTGTGTCCAAAGTCAGAAAAGAAGTCAGAAGATGAATAGGGAATTGAACCTAGGTCTTCAAGAATTGTTATCAAGCTGTCCTAAGTGTCTTTCATTAGGTATAGGACTACCCAATTAATTGTTGTTAGTCCTAAATGCAGTAAATCAGTAATGAGAGTACAGTTACTCAACACCAAAGTTTAGACCATCACTGGCTATTTGTCTTTACTGATGCGGATACCAGCTATCTGGGAGACTTTTGGGATACTGCTAATACTTTTCGTGTAAACTTTTCAGTATTAGTTATCTGATAGATTCCTATTTCATATCCCTGCAATAAAACCTGTAAAAATAACTTGTTAACTGCTTTATAGTTCATATGTTCAGATTATTTGGGAAAAGCTCCTCAACTTTAAACCATGACAAAACTGATACATGAACCTCTCTTACCATAGCTCCGTACCTACCACAACTGGCAAAATAGCCTTCCTTCTTTGTTACTGAAAATAACTTTCTACATTTGAAACTCACTTCAGTAATGGCTTGCAAACACGATATTGCTATTGAATATTATCAGTGTGATTACCTATTTATAATCACATTATCAAGTAAACATTAAATTGTACCTCATAAATTATTAGTAATATATTGTTACTGTGCTTAGCCTTGCTCTATTAGTATACATTATCTTGTTTGTATTAAGTGTTTTTAAAAATACTTTAATTAAAATATTATGGAAAAATATTCTGATAGAAACAGTCCTTATACATCTTTGTGCTAATGCCAAATATTCAGGTAAATGGTTGTGGGCATGAACTCAGGAAGGCCTTAAGACTAAACTAATTTAGGTGAAACTATTTTACACACTAAATGTGTGAAAGACTGGTAACCGGCACAATTTATGTCATTTTAACTGAGGAGCACTATCTCCTCATGGTTGCTCCATGTATGATATTATTTGTCACTGGCTGCCAGGATTGCTCAGTGAATGTCCTTGAGCAATAACAGACAATCTTTACTATTTACCACCTTTCTCCAGTGCTAGAAATTAAATGCAAAAAGTTAATGCAATAAATTAGCTACGCATAGGTCAGGAAATTCAGTAGTAAAGATCTGTACAGCAGTGTTAACTTAGCCACATTACATTTGTGACAGTACATTTTACTTGAGTTTTCTGCCCATCTCAGATACTCCTTTAATTGTTTGGGCAAATCACTTGTCCAAAATTTGCAAACTTGAGTGCCTAAAGTTGAGTACCTACAAAGGTGACGCCTGGGAGGCTCAAGAAGGGTCACATACTCCTCCCCAGCCTCCTCCCGCACACTGAACCCCTAATTTCTTCCCCACCCTGGAACCCCAACCCCCTGCCTGAGCCTGGAGCCCCCTCTCATACTCGAAACCGCACGGCTCCATTCCCCAGCCCAGAGTCTCCTGCACCTGAAAAAACTGTTACTCACCTTCTCATAACTGTTGTTCTTCAAGATGTGTTCATGTCCATTCCAATTAGGTGTGTGTGTACTGCGTGCATGACAGTTGGAAGATTTTTTTCCCCTAACAGTATCAGAAGGGTCGGCCTGGGCACTCCCTGGAGTCGTGCCCTCATGGCGCTCAATATAGTACCCTGCCGACCTGACCTCCCTTCAGTTCCTTCTTGTCAGCTACTCTGACAGTGGGGCAGAAGGGTGGGTATTGGAATGGACATGAACATTACAACTCAAAGAAATTTTTTTTCTTCTTCTTCTAGTGCTTGTTCATGTCAGTTCCAATCAGGTGACTCCCAAACCTAAGTTACGGGGGTGGGGTCGGAGTTGTCCACTGATAGGACAACTGCTCTACCAAAGGCCGCATTGTTTCTGGCCTGTTGGGTGATCGCACAGTACGTGGTGAAAGTGTGTATGGAGGACATCGCCTCTCTGCATATTTCCTGGGTGAAAACCTGCACCCTGGTGGAGTGAGCTGAGGGGAAAGCACCTCTGCCAGTTTGCAACACTTTTGGATTCACGATGTGATCCATGACGAAATTCGTTGAGAAGAGACTGGAAGACCTTTCATTCTGTCTGCTCCAGCCAGGAAAAGTTGTATAGACTTTTGGAACAGCTTTGTTTTCTCAATGTAAAAGGCTGGATGTCTGCAGACATCCAATGAGTGAAGTCTCTGCTCCCCGCCGCTTGAGTGTGGCTTAGGATAGAACACTGGGAGGAAGATGTCCTGGTTCATGTGGAAATGGGAGACAACCTTCGGGAGGAAAGCTGGGTGTGGCGTGAGCTGAGCCTTGTCCTTATAGAACACAGTGTAAGGAGGCTCTGATGTTAGGGCCTTGAGCTCAGACACCCTCCTGGCTGAGGTTATCGCTACCAGAAATGCGGCCTTGTATGAGAGGTAGAGCAGGGAAAATGTTGCTAGTTGTTCAAAGGGCAGTCGCATGAGCCTGGAAAGGACAAGGTTGAGGTCCCAGGGCAGGACTGGCTGTCGAACTTGCAGATATAGCCTGTCGAGACCTTTGAGGAAACTGCTGACCATAGGGTTGGTGAAGAGGATTGGTCCTCCGTGCCTGAATGGAAGGCAGAGATGGCGGACAAGTGAAGCCTTATTGATAACATGGACAGCCCCTGCTGCTTGAGACGGAGAAGGTAGTCCAATATGAGTGGAATAGAGGTGAGCATCAGGGATGAACGGTGCTGTGCTGACCAGATTGAGAATCTCTTCCAGTTGGCAAGGTACGTAGCCCTGGTGGAGGGTTTCCTACTGCCAAAGAGGGCTTGTCTAACCTGGTTCAAACAAGAAAGCTCCACCAGATTTAGCCATGGAGCTTCCACGCCGTGAGGTGCAATAACTTAAGGTTTGGGTGCTGGAGACAGCCATGATCCTGAGTTATTAAGTCAGGGAAGAGCACCAATGTGACTGGGGCTTCCACGGACATTTCCAGGAGAGATGTGTATCAGTGTTGCTGTGGCTAGCAATATTACCACCACTTGATACCTCCATATCATCAGGAGCACCTTGTGAATGAGAGGGGTAGGTGGGAACATGTATAGGAGACAGCCTCCCAGGGCCATCCCTACCAATTATGGTGCCCGAGCACCTGCTTTTCTCTCCCCCACACACCCCAGGTTCTGGGCTGCACTCAAGGCCTGCGGGGCTGGGGAGGCAGGAGCTGTGGGGGGCCACTTTGGGGGGCCCACAGGCCCAGAGGATTAGTGGGGGGGGCCGGGAGCAGAACGACCCAGCTCGCTTTGCTCCTCCCACCCCAGCTGTGTCGCTCAGGGAACGGGGTTTGGGGGAAGGGGTCCCCCCCTCACTCACCGGCAGCAGTGGGAAGCGGCGCAAACCGGCCCCAGCGTGCTCTACTCCGCCAGCTCCCAGCCACATCGCTACGGTTCCCGCCACCAGTGAGTGTGTGGGGATGGTCCTTTCCCCAACCCCTCCCCCCCGCAACGCAGCTGGGAGCCGGCAGAGTAGAGCAGGCTGGGGCTGAGTTGCTCTGCTTCCCGCCGCCGCCGGTGAGTGCGGGGTTGCTGGGGGAAGAGTGGAATGGGGGTGGGCTGGGGGCGGAGCAAGGGGGAGAAGGCTAAGAGGTGGGGCGGAGAGAGTTGTCTGGGGCCCCACACCCCCCCAGGAATGGTCATGCCCCTTGCAGTGGGTGCAGCCTGTGGGGGGGAGTGGCCAAGGGATAGGGCTGGTCGCTGGAGCTGGTGCTGCCGCATATGCAGCACACAGCTGCCTAAGGCACCATGAAATTTGGGGCAATTTGGTGCCCCAAATTTCATGGTGCCCCAAATTTCATGGTGCCCTATGCAGCTGCGTATTCTGTGTCTGCCTAGGGACAGCCCTACGGCATAGGCACCAACT